TAATATTTATAGATTCTGCTAAATAAACAAAAAATCCAATCTAGATGTTTTAAGGAAATCAGTGCATCTTTATATAGGTGCCATTTAAAAATAATGGCTAATTAAGTGAAAGCTAAAATCTATTGTCATTTCAGAGTCTTTACCCCTAGAAGTTACAATGATAAATGTAGCTAAATTAAAATGACAAGTTATATTCCCTATGTCAGAGCTGTTTTTTATCCCTGGTGTGAAATCAGAGAGTTTCATCTCAAGTTTGTCCTTTAACATTTTTCAAATGTTACATTGTGCTATTTTTAATCTGGAAACAATGCACATGATTGCTTAAAAAAAAAAAAAAGTCTCCATGTACAGTATCTCCTGACTAGTAGGGATCTAGTGAATTGTGAATTGATGAAACGCCCAAATACTAATATAGAGCAAAATTAAGGAAGATGTGACTTGCTCACTTGAGGAAGGTGAGGGTGGCCATTTGAGAGTATTTTCTGTCAGTTTCCTGATTTTGATATTGTGCTAAAAGTTATACAAGACGTTAACACCTGGAGAGGCTGGCTGAAGATTTACTTCTTGTGAATCTATAATTATTTCAAAATAATCTAAAACAAACTAAAGAGCTCCCTAACAGCTTGACCACACAGAATCCTTAGGCTACATTCCTGAGAGTTCTGGTACATCCCACATGGCCCTTCTAGGACCAAGGAGGTAGAAAGTCACCCCCTAGAGATTCTCGTTCAGTAGGGGTGAGGCAGGGCACAGGGCATGGTTTAGTATCTGGAAAAAGCAGCCCACTTCACCCCCGATTCTGAGGCAGAGCCCTAGATAAGGACTGTGCCCTAGAAAAAAGCCATGTAGGACTTGCTGAAGCATCAACTGAAAGGTGATGCTCAGCAAAATGTCTTCTCTGCCTAAGACTTTGCTCACTGGGACCGAATCATTCTTGAATTTTCCATAGGCGATGAAATCAGTACTTGGACATGTTCATTGAGTAAGCTTTATCATTACCCATTTAGCAAACAAGACGCCCTGCTTGATAGTTATAATGGAAAATACTCTAGAGCCAGCTCTCTCCATGTGATTTAGAGTTCCCAAATTAAGGGTCAAAATTTGGCCCAAGGTTATATTTAAGAATAATAGTTGAAAGTGTGAACACATTAATAAAGTGTTAAAGAATACATTGTCTGGAAGAGAAAGTAAATGACAGCTAAAAACCTCAAGACATATAACCTATTCACTTTAGGCTTTAACAATTTTGAAATAGGAGCTTTAATTAGGTTTGTAACAAGTTGCCACTTGTAAGGAATTTTATACTTTTTGATAATGAGGTACAGATGAATGTGTTCTGTTATTTATTTTTGTTTTTGTAATAATCCAACTTTATGTTACTCTGAGAGCCTATATTCTCTTAATCTTTAAGAAAAAAAGAAAATATGTCTGAAAAGTAAGTCCTCATACTTTCTTTTTTTTTTTTTTTTTTGAGACAGAGTCTCACTCTGTCGCCCAGGCTGGAGTGCAGTGGCCTGATCTCAGCTCACTGCAAGCTCCGCCTCCCGGGTTCACGCCATTCTCCTGCCTCAGCCTCCCGAGTAGCTGGGACTACAGGCGCCCGCCACCTCGCCCGGCTAGTTTTTTGTAGTTTTAGTAGAGACGGGGTTTCACTGTGTTCACCAGGATGGTCTCGATCTCCTGACCTCGTGATCCACCCGTCTCGGCCTCCCAAAGTGCTGGGATTACAGGCTTGAGCCACCGCGCCCGGCCATTCCTCATACTTTCAAGTTTAGAAAATGGTGGCATTGGCTCTTTCAGACTGCTCACTTCAGTTAAACCAAGTAGCTTATGGAAAACTTAGTTTTTAAAGAAAAACGCCACATAAACACCACCTAGTAATGCTTTTTGAAAAATGTTTTTTTGTGTTTGTAAGCTAATTTATTGGAATGGTGAAAATATTGGTTTAAGCACCCAGTCTCTTCTACCCTAAGCTCCAATGCAATATTAGATATGTTGCTATGTACTTCATGAGGAGAAATATTTGGCTGTTGTGCGATTCATAATTCGTCCTGAAATATTTGGGGTCCAAGCCTGGCTCTTAGCATCAAGAGTAAACTGGGAGTTGTTTTTGTCACCAATTCTAATAGGCATGTTTTGGATTAAAGGATACCAGTTAGTTGACTCATTCTGGATATTAGTCAGAATGTGAAGTGTCATTGTAGAAGTGATCTCATGAGAGAGGCCACCTGATGTGTGGTTACCATGGGGACATTGTCTCAGTCTCATACTAATGACAAAAAAAATTTGATGTTGCTTCTGTTCAGGTTCTCTTATAAAACATATTAAGGAAGTTATGTAGATAATTTTTGTTTAGGCCATATAACTTTGATCTTCTGATAACAATTTCGTAAACTTAGAAATTTTCATGTAAGATACAGGAATATTGGAAGCAAAAATAAGAAGGTGCTTTAACATTAGTGATTAAAAAATAGTAACTTAGGTTGAAAATACTGCTTGAAAGTTAATACTGATAGCATTACTACACATGATGATTTTTTTCTGGAAGGAAAGCTTTATCTGGGCCTTCAATTTAGGAATTTTGCACTTTGGTTTTTAAAAGCTGCCATATTCACTTGAGCTTCATGGGAAAGATGCAAATAACTAAAAACAAACAAATGAACAAAAATCATGTTGAAGTCAGGAACTTATTTCAAGAAAGCAAGTTCTAGGTTTTCTTCTAAAGTGATAGTAGAGCCTTAGGTCTCAAACCATCTACAACCATGTTAACAGCACATCATTCAAATCATTCAACAATCCTGAATGTTTACCTGTGCCAAGTACTGACCAGTGTAGTATCAGATATTCACAGTAATGATATATTGCCAAGAGAATGCTTAGGCATGTCCCATATATTCTGTTTATGGATAAAGGAGTGCACCAAACATTTTAGTGCTATTTTCACCCCAAATCCCTCTGTCTTTAAGTTAAACTTAACCGAAATCACTTATTTTCCCCAGTGGTATGGAATAAGTAAGCATTGCTGTGGATTCAGTGTCAGGTTAAAGCCTCAGTGCATTGCTTAGCTAGGTCAGCGTCATTATCAGTGCGTGCTTATCATGCCAGCCATCCAGAATAAACAGCACTCAGGCCTAGCGCTGCCAGAGTTGAGACCTGCAGAGCGTGCTGCGTGCTTGGGAAAGTTTGAGAAGACATTCTGGAGAGCATGTTCTTGGGCAGTTTTCGCCTTAAACTTCTTGCCATTCACATGCAGAAAACTGTTGCTGCTGAAAGATGCTTTTCCAGAAATACACTGTGTTGTAGGGGAGGGAACACTGGTGTTCAAAGTGATTAGTCTGATGACAGAGGAAAATGGATGGGGAGGGAGCTACATAGAGGAAAAGTGCCCAGACGCAGCGCCTCCAGAGAAGGTGGTTGTACAGGGGCTGTGTGGGCCTTCATGTCTTCATTCGGTCAGCGAGCCTGTGTTCTGCCTCCCTCTGACCAGGCGCCATTGTAGTTACTGGGGATAAAGGATGGGAATGAAGCAAGTGTGTACTTTCATGGAGCCCATGTTCTAGGGGACGGGATAGTATATATGTACAGTGAACAAGTACATATGTAATATGGCAAATGATCATAAGCGATAGGGAAAATCAGATGGGAATAGGGAATGCTGTTTGAGGGTAACATGTTTTTCTGTAGGGTGTCAGAGAAGGTCTTACTGATTAAGATTATTGGATCAGAGATGTGAGAGAAGTAAGACAAGAAGCCATGAGGTAAAAGAATTCCAGGCAGATGGAATAGTAGCCGCAAAGGCCCTGAGAATGGCATGTGCTTGGTGCCTTCAGGGAGTGGCACAGGAGGCAGGTGTGACTCCCATGGAGCAAGTGAGTCTGAGAGCAGAGGCGTGGTGGGGGAGACGGCCAGATGGCAGACAGCTGCATAAGCCATTGGAAGGACTTCCACCTTTACCCCTCACAAAGTAGAAAGCTACAGGAGGATTTGGGGCAAGGAAAGGACTTGATCTGACCTATGACACTGTCACCCTGATTTGAGAAGTACAAAGATGAAAGCAGGGGAGCAGTTAGGTTTTTGTAATCAACCAAGTAAGAGATCATGGAGGCATGGACCAGGGTGGTAGCCATGTGGTGACAAAGATGAATCCAAGGTTTTCAGCTCAATCAGCTGGAAGGACGGGGCTGTCATGTACTGAAATGGGGAGACTGTGGGAAGAGCAGGACTGGGTAGGGGAAGCCAAGGGTGTTTGGCTTTGGATGTGTTGAGAGTTCTCCAGATGCCTCTTAGGCAGTCTGGTGGGGTGGTAGAGTGGACACTTGGATAGCCAAGTCTGGAATTCAGAGGGGATGCTGGAGAATGATAGGTCCTTACTAGTCACTAGAATATGGATGGTATTTGGGGCTATCAAATGTATCAACAGCACTTTGAGGGTGAATATAGATAGAGAAGAAGTGAGAGGTCTGAGTCCTGCCATTTCACAGAAACCAGGGCATTGATTCAGAATTCACAGAGAACAGTTAACTCAGAGTTTTCTTAATATCCTGTCTTTTTAAAAAATAAACATGTCATTGTTCCCTTTTGAGACAGTTGCACCGTTTTAACAATAATTCATGAATTTTATTTTTCTTCCTTTCCTTCTTTCTTTTTAGTGGCTTGTACCTGATCAATTGCTAATACTGTTTAAAATTGATAGGCACTTTTTGGTCTGGTAATCTGATTTTTTTGTGGAACATCATTAAAAGAACAATTGAGAGATTTATAGCCATAGAAAATTGAGGCTTCTTTCTATTACTCAAGATAGAAGTTAGCGTAAGTCTGATCTGAGTTTTCCACCGTTTTTGTTATTGTTGTTGTTGTTGTTTTGTTATAAGTCTTGGTTTGGGTTGTAATTTCATGGTCAGCAAATCTGGCGACATTTATTTTGCGAGAAATCAAAGGATGTACTATAATAGTAGACTATTCTTTCACACTGAACTTTATTTATTTTTTGCCTTTTCTAGCCATTATTTGCATTTTTAAATGAAGAAAAGTTTAACGTGGATGGATGGACAGTTTACAATCCAGTGGAAGAATACAGGAGGCAGGTAAGTTGTTAGATGCTATTGTCTGTTATGTGATGAACCTGAAACATGCATTATGACAGTATGTCATCAGCCATGCTTTCTGAAGATCAGCAACATCCTTGCTAAATATCTTTTCCATGGTGGTGATATTATCCACATTTTGTACAATATATCTCATTCTATCTGTTACTGTATAACTTATAAGCTCATTCCATTGCCATATGCAAGCTGCATGGAAGGCTGGATCACTAAATTCTATTTCCTTCCCTATATGAAGAGCATCAATTTTGTGTTGTTTATGAAATGAATTAAATACTTAGGATTTAGAAAAGCCAAACATTTTAGAAGTTACACTTTAGGACTTGATGTTGCTATGTATATGCATGTTTGGGAGCTTAACTATTACTTGCAGCTAGATTTAAATTATATTCATTTCAGTTTGCAGATTCAAATGAATTAAAACTGTTTCCCTGTAGTGATGTCTTTTTCAAGAAAGCTTTGATAAGTGTACATTATAATTGCCTTTACTGCTCTCTTACGTGAATGTCACCTACATGCATGTTTATTTGCTATAATAAAGGCAAGAGGCTTGGTCTCATGTTGCTGTTCAGGAACAAAAGTCTCTTGCAGTATCTTTGTAAAGGGAATTCTGTGCATAATATGTAACAAGAGCCACAGTTTGACCTCTGGTATAACCAAATTTATAGACAGCTAGGAGTTGTACAATGGGATTATTCACAATTCTTGTTCTACAAAGCTCTTAAGATAATTGAAAAGTTTTGTTGGATGAGATTTGAGAATCAGATCAAGCCCATTTGCTTTATATGAAAAGTTAGTGAATATAAAGTAAAATCATAGAACCCTAGACTTGAGAAGAACCATCTAGTCACCACCTTCACCATGAAAAACCTGGATTGATTTCCTGTTTTAGTCTTAATCAACGGTTTGCATATTCATGAACAGATTTGACACTCTGGAATTTGGGTGCAGGAGTTTAGCTCTAGAACACATGTGAGATAGTATATCCTGTTGCTTCCATAAGTCATGTTTAGACTGTTGAGTTTTCTAAGGCTTTGCGCTCCTCCCATTTTAATGGCTTCTGTTCTGGACTAGCTATTGAGGCAGAAGAAGGACCATGAAAACATTTTGCATGTTTTGGAGGCCTCTGTAAATGATGTATTAAAATATTTTTACCTAATTTTTGAAGTGTTATTGATAACATTAAGACTTTTTTTTTTTAGTTCAAAGCTTCTAGCTTGAAATAAAACAGTTCCTGTTTTTAAGATTGCATGCATATATGAACTGTTGAAGGTATTTTGTTCTACACTGCCATTATATTCAATCTTTTTTTCTTATAACTTTCTGATGGGACTTATAACTGTCTAATTGGACTCAGCATCAGACTCAACATCTGTTTGGTCCGTGGTCTCTAGGGCCAGACCTAAAGAAAAGGTACAATGTCTGTCCCCAAAGCAAACACCCACATAGCTCACTTTCATGTGTGTATCTGTGCATTTGTGAGAATGGGGAGAGAATATTCCACCACCTCTGAATCTTTTCCATACTAAATACAATTTTGTGGGGAGATGATAGGGTGGGAGGTGTCTTCTGTGTCTCCCTGTCACATTAACAGTCTGCTTAAAATGCAAATGACTGTATTTCTAACACAACCTATAGGGCGATCTTCGATTCCGATCAACTTGATTGAAAAAAACTCATCGGAGGTGGCGAAATGAGCCTCCCCAGAGGGGTTTTCCTTTACTTCCCCTCTGTGATTTTCTTCATGAGCTCAGCCTCTTTCCACTTTGGAGCAGACTGAAGCGTTCACTCTATTTTGAGCAGGGAGAGGAAGTTGCCTGATCTCTTTTCTACCCTCAGTTAGACCCAGATTAAGATGAAGCAGGGTAATTTTTTAGGGGATGGGAGGGGTGCATGGGCGGGGGATGAACTTGGGTTTATCTGTGTGGTACAGGTAGTAAAGAATATGTGGACACAAAATAAAGGGAGATGAGTTCCTTTGAATTCAAGAGAATCTGTATTTACAAATTATAGTTTAGAACTGTAAAAACCACCAATGTTTTGTCTTGTGTTCTTACGTTGTCTGGATTATTGATTTGGCACCCTTATTATAAATAGGTAGACCGTCATCACCCTGTGGTCAAAGAGGCATGTGCACATATTGCTAGAAGGAAGAAAAGAGGCCCAAGGCCAAATCCAGAGATGAAGTCAAGCAATACTGACTTGAATTGCCTTTTTTTCCTCACAGGGCTTGCCCAATCACCATTGGAGAATCACTTTTATTAATAAGTGCTATGAGCTCTGTGACACTTACCCTGCTCTTTTGGTGGTTCCGTATCGTGCCTCAGATGATGACCTCCGGAGAGTTGCAACTTTCAGGTCCCGAAATCGAATTCCAGTGAGTACTGCAATTAATGTTTCTCTCGAAGAGCACCTTTTAGTCCATAAGAATGGTAGTCGTATAACTTAGAGAACGGTCCTTTTGGAATTCTGTCCCCAAAAATACTTACCAAGTGCTTTCTGAGTGCAAAGCACCATACCAGATTGGAGAAGAAGTGTGCCGTCACCTGCCTTCTAGGAGCTAGCAACTAAGGATCGAGAATGAATGCAAGTAAAGAGCTTTCTACGAGAGAGGGGCTGCACGTAATGGGAACCAAGTGCTGTGTGGAAGGAAGCAAGGAAGGACAGGCTCCTTATGACTTTCGTCTTTGTGGCACAATACGTGATACTATATGATAGGCTCTTGATAAATGTCAGATAAATCATGCTGGAAAGAACACACTGTCTTGTTATAGAGTGTGTCAGCACAGACTTTGACATATACTCACCATGAGCTCACCCCCATCACCTTTGCAGGCTGCCCCAATACCATTGTCTAACTGGAGTCAAGTATAGATTATTCCAGACAGTATCCATATGGTATCATTGCACCTAGTTCACAAAGCTCTCTTTTGGTCCTTAAATATTAATGGGCATGTCATACTGTCCAACATTGACAAAAATTGACTAAAAATTTAGATATTCTCCCCTGCTAATTTTCAGGGTCTGTCATAAGTACATTGGGTTTTTTTTTTTTCCTACTAAGTAAATGTTTAAAAACAAAGGTTGAAGAAATTAAGACTTAATGTCACCTTGCCTTCTTCAAGTCTAGACATTTTTTTCCTTAAAAGGATATTTGTGCAATACTTTGTATTCTGTCAGCCTAATATGAATTGTAATTTTTTTTAAATTCACTTGTTAACACACTTCTAGCCATAAAACCGCAGAAGTGATGCTGTGTTCTCAGTGCACCACCTTAGGAGACATGCTGTTGATTTGTCCCATTATTAGTGATGTTAACTGTGATTATTCTGCTAAGGCAGTGTCTGTCATGTTTTTCCACTATAGCACTATTATTTTACCCATTAAAATTAATAAATGCCTTATTAATGATTTTTTAAAAATTTACTTCTCTAGTTACTAGTGTCCATATCTTCACGATATAAATTGTACTTGAAAGTATGTTCTTTAGCTCATGTTGTTAGAACATGGTGCTAATGAAGCTAGGGTTACAAGTTCAGTCTTCCTGTGCTCTGTTTGGACATGCTCTTCTGTACCATAGCCACAGACTACACCCCTACCCTGGCTGGCTGTCTTGCTAATAATACATGCCTTGCTCACAAGGACAACTGGGCTAGGGTCGCCTGGCTCAGTTTTGTTCATGTATTCATTCAGTTCATATTTATTGAGCACCTACTGTGTCATTTGTGTATGTAGGTGTATTCCATGGGATTTGAAACAGAGAAAATTAAACAACTGTGCCCTTTCCACCATGCTTGGTTACCATCTTGATCCAGTAGTCCCCGTTATTCTGAATGAATGAGTGTCCACTGTAGAGCAGACAGAATTTCCTAACTTTTTATTTAGTCATGTTATTGATCCTTCTTACTTTATTGTGGCCACCAATTTATATTTATTTTTCCTAAAATAGCTTTTATAGGAAAGACTAAGTTCCCCATCACCTCTACATATTTAGAGATCTACTATGAGGTACTATTAAGCATGGTAGTATGTTCTTTTCAGTATACTTTTTAACCACCCGGCTGTGGGCTAAGTCTCAGAGCTTTGCTTACACCCAGAAAACATATGTGCCTTTAATGTGAAATCATTAATATCTGATAGTCGGTTCTTTTCATAAAAGCTCATGTAAAAATACAAAAGGAAGTGATGGGAAAGAGATCTTATTTCGTGTATAAATAAGATACAAACTATAATAAAATATCGCTGGGTAGAGAAATAATCAACGTGCATTAAATGTTTCCATTAATGTAGTCTCTTATTCTCAAACAGATTTGTCTTAATTTTATGAGTCTTTAGTGTACAAGTAATGCACGTTCATTTTAAGCATTATAAAAAATACTGATAAGCAAAAAGGAGTCTGCCACCTAGTGAGAACCAGTGTTAACATTGTTGGTATATATCCTTTCAGACTTCCTTCTAAACATGTATATATGTTCCTTCTAAATATATATATATATATTTGAAAAAAGTGAAATTATTCTATAATTTGTGTCTCAGTCTATAGAAATTATTCTATAATTTGTGTCTTTTTCTATCTAGCAGTATCTTGTAAACAGCTTCCCATGTTGCTAAATATGATCCGCTCATATGCCGGTGTGTAGGTGTACCAAGATTTATTTAATCAGTTTTCCATTGTGAGACATTCAGCTTCTGCTTAATCTTTTGCTATTATAAATAATGCTGTAATAAACATCTTTCAGTGGTTAGATATTTGTGTACTTCCTTAATTATGGCTTCTAGATATTAATTTTAATAAGAATAATACAGTGCCATGTACTGTAAAGGCACTCATGGTAGTTGACGCTGTGAAATGAACATTATTTGTACCTATTTAGCTCTGTAATAAGCATCCTTTTCAAAAACTAGTAAGAATCCCCCCTCCTGCAAAGAAATTAAGAGGTGAAACAACTCAGAGGAGTAGCATTTCCTAACATGGCACCACAAAGAGAAGAGGGGTTGGGGGAGGGAAGCCATTGCCTACGGTCTGACTGAAATTTACAACTTGATGAGGGTCTTTCTCAAATAATAAGTCTTTTAAATGTGTAGCAAATAACTCCTTTAAAGTGATCTCATGTCTCTTGTCTCTCTTGATACCAGGGCCATAGAGGGAAAGGAAGGCAGATCTCATATGTGCTGTGCATTGTAGATTGGAAGGTGGAGGTTTAGGTCCTACTAGTACCTTCTCCAAGGCTCCCAGTTCTGAGCCTTTGGACTCTTAGGCAGGGGCTACGATGGTGTTTTTAATTGATCTCTGTTATGGTGCAAGGACCATATTTGTTCTGAGAATGAATAAATATTATTGTGTAATCTTTTCTCAATAACCTGTTGTCATTATAAACACTCATTTTTATAAACATCAATGTTTGTCATTTGCCATCGTGAGGTAGGTAACTTCAGAGACATCAGGGAATTTGGTGTTATGTTGAGTAAGCCCACATGGTTATGCTTCTTTAGTTCTTTGTGTCTGCATTTTGTAGTTTTTGTTAACTGACTTTCCTGGCTGCTGGGCCTGCCTCTATAAGCTAACACGAGCCAGTGTTTATTGCGGACTTTCTGGGCATTCTTCTTCAGGCCCCCCAGCAACCCTATGAGATTATATTATTCTCCCCATTTTATGGAAGAGGAAAGGAAAGCCAGAGAAGCTGCGAGTGAAATGCCTGAGGTTAGAGCCGTGGCAGAGATGGCACCAGACCCCAAAGTCCACATTGTCACCCACTGTGCTGCAGTTCTCCAGCTCCCCATTTTTAACAGCTTTATTGAGATCTACTTCGCATACCAAACAATTTCCCATCTCAAGTGTACAATTCTGTCATTTTTGGTATATTACATTATTAGCTACCTTTTATGTGTGTTACTTTTCACATGCTATGAGCTTGGAAACCAGGGAGCAAATGTACTAGACTTGTGTATAAAATTAGAGAAGGCAGGTTCTGAATCAGGATTTGATGAGCTCTCCTAGGCAGTGGATGTCCACAATGCACTGTGGAGACAAGCAGACCTTCGCTCTTTGGGCTGTCCTGAGATTCGTTTTGCTCCCCTTGGGTTTTCTTCCTTCCTGTGTTAGATTCTAGAATTGAGACTGTCGGGAAAATGATCTGTAGACATGAGTTGGTATTATGAGAAACATATTGTACCAGAGACGATTTCCTTTACCTCTCACTTTTTGCCAAAGCTGCTTCTATATGATAACAAATCCAGTGCAAGCTACATAATTAAAATAGGATCAAGCTTTCAATTTCCTTTAAGTGATATAACTATTTTTAGGTAAGCAATTAATTTCTATTGGATGTGGTGCTAATTAAGAAAAGACTGGTAGTTTTACTTGTTTCTGAGTTATATTATTAAATGCATGTCTCTGGGCACACGCACACAGTGAGATTGCAGTTGAACAAGTATTCTATTTTAGCACTGTCAGATTCACTTCTTGATAACTATCAGTGCTTTATGGTTTGCAGTTTTAATTGTTTGCTTGGAGATTGGCTTTCTTGATAGCTTAAACTTTCTGACCTAACCATAGGTGCTGTCATGGATTCATCCAGAAAATAAGACAGTCATTGTGCGTTGCAGTCAGCCTCTTGTCGGTATGAGTGGGAAACGAAATAAAGATGATGAGAAATATCTCGATGTTATCAGGGAGACTAATAAACAGATTTCCAAACTCACCATCTATGATGCAAGACCCAGCGTAAATGCAGTGGCCAACAAGGTGAGTGGACTTAGTGATGTGCTGGACACTTAGCTTACATATGGAATGCAGTGTTTTCTGTGAATGTTTTTGCCATGGTATAGAAACACATGGGTTTAAATTAATAGTTAAGAAAACCAGTTCTCTTAGATATAAAGTAGTTGTAATCACAAAACTTAAACAAAATTGAATACATGAAAATCAAATGCAAATAAACTTTAGGTAAATAGGCATGTCTAGACTATGAAGTTGGGTTTTGGCCAGGACCTTGGCAGGAAAAAGTTAGATTCTCTTTAAAGCCCTTTCAGCTGTGGATGATCACTCATTGTGTACACTATTGAGGCATCTGTAAGGAGCTATGGGAAGCTGTAATTATTAAAATACTAAATTTGTATGCTACCCAAACACTCCCTCCCCCATACCCGTATATATTCACATATGTATATTCTCATTTACATAAGATAATTCAAGAAATGAGTAAATCCACGTATGTGAGTTTTCCAAGCACAAACATATACACAAAGTTGACCATTTTCAAAGAAGTCTGTCTCAATTGACTTTTTGCTGTAAGCAGAATATGTTGAATGCACTTAAAATTGATTAGGGTCATCATGAACATCAGTGACTGCACAGTGCTGCCTTCAGAAGCTGCTGCAAGGTGTATGGCTGTTTGCTCCTATGCTAAATGGCCCCAGATTGGTGTGCATTTTACGTTCTATTTCTCCTTTTTGTTGTTTTTCTTTTCCTTCTCCTCCCATCATTGCTGTCACTTTGAAATGCTCACAAGGGGCCTGCCCTAAATTGCTCACTCCTATTCCAGCTTTCAGATTTATTGTTTCTCATCTGCTGTAGGCTTAAATTTCATCATATTTAATACATTGCTTATCCTGAGGTTATTTGTCTAGCATCTTCAATTATTCAGAACATAAGAACCAGAAAGCAAAACAAGTTCTTGAGCAGCTCAGATAGGTGCAGCAGCTTCCCAATAGAATCTGTGATGTCTGTCTGCACTAGGATGTGTCAGACTGCATGCATGCACAGCTCAACTCTTCATTATTTGCGCACGGATCTTCTGTCCTACATGTTTAATCCTGGGCCACCTCCCCATCCCCATGCATGCTTTTGAACCAGCTGTTTGTTACTATGGTTGTTTTTTGGTCCAGAGATAATTTTGAAATTATATGTGAGCAATCAGTAAGCTAAATTGACAAGTAAATTAGGAATCGTAAGTGAAACATTCAGGAAATGAAATCTAAATCTAAATGTCTTCTTGGATTGTCCTTAATTTTATATATCTCTGTTACTATTATCTTTCATATATAATTCAGAGTGAATACATATATATATAATGCAATATTTTCATGTACATATTTAGCCTGAAATAGATATGATATAGCATTACAATGAAGTATTTACAAAGAATATTTTAGAATATTAAAATGCATGAAATGGATACACTAATTAACTCTAAAGCTCATTCTAGAAATAGAATTCCTGAAGGCCTTTTTAACACTCAGGAAACAAGCCTCCATTTCTAGTCCTCTTAGGAGTCAAGGGAAGGAAAATATCAGGGAAAAAGCCTAAGCTTTACAGATCTCTGTCATTCTTTTAAAAAGCTCACTTGTGTCCCCCTCCCTCTGCTGTGTCTCTCTGCTAGTCGTCTATATCCATAGCAACAGGCCCGTAGACCTTTACATCATCGTTCTAGGTAATCTACATTGTTCTTTTTTGTTGAAGAAAGGAAAACCAGAAAGAATACTTCAAAAGTAACCAGAGATGTCGAATTTGAACTTTCAGGAACTCAGTGTGTGCTTGACTAATTGATTGTTGCCCTTTCTGATCTTCTGTTCTCCTTGGCCTAATTGTTCCTCCCTTACGGATATTTAGAAATTTACATCCCCAGATGCAACAAGCAACAGCACGTCATTTTAAATTAAACAAAATCCAAGGATCGGTGAGATCTAGCAGCAAGCCGCTTCTATTTTTGTGGCAGTACATCGTGATGAATTAATGTGGAACTGTGCTAATGTCTGTTTTTACCAGAAACATTAGCGATGAGTAATAAAGTATATTTTTCCTTTTATTTTTTCACTTATTTTCGGTTATTTATGAAGAGAACTCCAGTTTCAAGAATCTCTTTGAAAATCACCACAACTATGTAAAAACTGCATGTGTAGAGAAGCAGGAAGAGGAGAAAGTGGCCCACTTAAATAATGAATCGCTTATTTATTAGCTAATAACTTTTTTAAAACAACACTGTGAATGTTTACTGTCTACTTACTAGTGATACTATTTAGAGCAAACTCTAAAGAAATATTTCTGCCTAGGTGTATTTTCTTGCCTAGAGTCTTTGGAGACCAAGATTTCTGGCTTTTAACATAGGTCTCCAGGTTTGAAACCTAAATGGATGGTAGCCTTACTTCTGCAGGAAACCTTTCTCTGTGACTAACTCCAGGGAAAAAAAACAAACAAAAAACTAAACCTAAGTTTCTTTGGCCCTTCTACCCATGGCTACAAGCTTATATTCCTACCATTGTTATTAATAAAGAGAAAATAGGCATATTGTAGCTATGGCACATTTGTCTGGTGACTTCTCCTTTCCTCTACAGCCCCAGGCAGATGTTTCCCTGTTCTGTTCCTACAGGCACTCTGGAGTTAGTATAATATTGCTTTCTTTGCAAGTCTCAGAACTGTTGAACTTTTTCTTAAAGGGCCAAAGGCCACGTGTTCTATGCCATTTCAAAACATTTAAGCAGAATGCAGCCAGATTCCTAAATGAAACCATAGCATCTCTTTGTCAGTGTGGAAAATGGGCACTCTTCACATGCTGTGGAGATGAACCAAAGCCTGCTCTGGCAAGTTAATACTTGTGGGTGCTGCAGTAGGCGATAGCCATCTTGTCTCCTCTTGAAATCTTTTATTCTTTCAGAGCTCACTATGTGCAGCGCTCTGTCGTTGGTGTTTGCATAGCAGAGAAACAGTCATCGTTTAGTAGAAAAAGTGTGAGCTTTGAAGCCAGACATAGATTTAAGTGCCACTTACTACCTATGTGACTTAGGGGATAGTTAACTAGCATCTCTGGGTTTCTGTTTTCTCATTGGCAAAATGGGGATAGTAATACCTATCTTGCAGCACTGCTGAAGAGATAAAATTATGTAAAGCAAGAGTCACAGTACCTGGGATGTCATAGGAGTTCATTAAATAGTGGCTGGCATTAGCTATTATAATAGAGTGTGGTTCCTTTAATAGTATGAGACCTAGGTAATATTATCCTCTATTTTACAGGAGAGGATGTTGAGGCTCAGAAATGTTAAGTGCCTTGTCCCAGATCACATGGCAAGGAGAAGCTGAAGCTGAGCTATCAGCCTGGGTCTGACTCCAAGGCCTGTTGTTTTCCTCTAATGCATCACGTCCTACGTGAGTGCTGTTACAGAGCCAGAGGTGCCTGCTGCTGCCTCAGTCTGGCTGCCTCCCCCCTTCCCCCTGAAGAGTACTATTAGAGATACAAAACTAATGGAGGACGAGGACCTTTCACAACCTACTTTTGCCTTTCCAGATCCGGAAGAAGAGCTATTAATTATAGAGCATTTTGAGGATGATTTTTTTCCTTAGGAATACAGATTCCCCAGGAAATTGCCAGCCTTCTGTCTTTTTTTCAGCTTAAAGTATGACTAATGTTTTTGAGACTTACTGTTGGCTAGGAAGTCAAGTCACATCAATTATTCATTTAAATTGGAGGATTTGGGGTTATTTGGAGGACAAATAACTTTAGAAATATTTGTGTAAGTTTCTAATGAAATAGAAAACTGATTGTTTGTATTTCATGTTGTTTCTTAGGCAACAGGAGGAGGATATGAAAGTGATGATGCATATCATAACGCCGAACTTTTCTTCTTAGACATTCATAATATTCATGTTATGCGGGAATCTTTAAAAAAAGTGAAGGACATTGTTTATCCTAATGTAGAAGAATCTCATTGGTTGTCCAGTTTGGAGTCTACTCATTGGTTAGAACATATCAAGGCAAGTATATTTTGTTAAAATATTTGCATATATAAACAAGAATGTAATTGTTTGGTGGAATGGAGATATTTTTTAATTCCTTTAAAAAAATGGACATTGAGAGAGAAACTTTGTAGTATAGGACCACATTTGACAGTTTTATGTTGCTTTATAATTTGCTTACCTAAATGAAAGATTTCACATCATCACTGCGGAATATATTTAGAGTGTGCAAAGACATCTCTTTCCAGCTTTCAGTATTAAGTCGTTCAGTCTTTCATGCAGGTTTATTTACGAATAGCCAGTTTATTATCTAACCCTTACTGGATATAATGTCTTTGGACCTAGATAGAGGTGGTCAGTATTTTTTTATTTTCTTTTTTTTTTGAAACTAATCTCAAATGACTTATTTTAAAGAATTGATTTTGTGTTTTATTATTTTCAATCCTGATAAAGGCATCAATAATCCTCCACTTTTTAAAAAGTACTTGAAGCGATCTGAGGGAACTAACACTTTTAGAAACCCTTTAGTTCTGTAAACAAACAAAAAGTCAGCTTTAATGTATAGGTGAATTATTAAGATACATTCTCTAGTCAAATTTTGTTTTCCAACTTACCCTTCATCTGCAAATGGTGGCATGCTTTTCTCAGCTAGCCAGGCTCACCCTCTTGGTATCATCCTACATTTCTTTAGCTCCTGCACCTAGCTAATCATAAAGTACCACAGGCCCTTCCTTGGAAACATTTCTGCCACTCTCATAGTCCCCTCACCCTCACACTGGCATTATTCACACTAGGGCCATTACTACCCCTGTCTTTGCACTCTTAAAATGGTTCTGTTTTCTCTTCCTTCCCTCTCCTATCTATTCTATAAGCAGCTGACAGAGAACATTTTGCTAAAATATCCTGCTATTCCAAAACCTCTGGGGGCTCCCAACAGCCTAACCTGACAGTCACGGCCCTGTTCCTCTGGCTTCTGCAGGTTTGTAGATTAACCTGCAACTACGGAAATCCTTACTCTTCCTATTTCCATCTCACTTAACACCTGTTTCTAGGCCTTTGTCTAGGTCGTCCTCTTTCTCTAGAATGGATTTCCCCATCCTTCCACTTTCTTCAAGGACCAGATCAAATCCCACCGAATCTCAAAGGGAATGTTCCTTCCACTGACTTTGCTATACATTTTGTCTCTTTTTACACATACCTATCATCTCTTCAATCATATGTGAACCTCCTTAAAGTCTTATACCATTTTCCCATTCACAAGGTCTAACATAAAAAACAAAATAAAACTGTTTATTTTACAATAGTTTTCAATTTACAGAAAAATTGTAAAAGTACTATAGAAAGTTCGCATGTACCCAACCCAGTTTTTCTCTTTATTGACATCTTACAGTGCTCACAACTATGGCATGTCACATTGTACGGTACATTTGTCACAACTAATGAACCAATATTTATACATTATTAACTCATTATTAATGCAGTTCATACTTTATTTGGATTTTCTCACCTTTCACCTAATGTCCTTTTTCTGTTCAAGGATCCCTCCCATCGAGGTATCACATATTTAGTTGTCACAATTAGTTGTTTTGTTTTTTTTTTTTTTTTTTTTCACAATTCATTGGTGAGGATGACAAATTCATAAAAAAATGAAAGTCAGGCAAAATAAAAATAAGATTTGATTGGGACCTTGGTCAAGAGAAACACCATGCATTTGGGGTAGTGGTGGGTCATCCACCTGGTGGTGTCTAACAGGCAGGCTTTCTGCAAAGTAGAACCCAAAATAGAGACTTAACACTGAGATGTCGGTTGGGCAGTCAGCTATTGGGCAACAAATGCAAGCAAAGCCCTTTAATGTAGTTTCTGAGAGGATGTGTGGGGAAAAGATCAAAGGACTTTGAGTGGAGCTTTGGGCCTGTTTGTATTCAGGGCAGGAGGTAAGAAGTGGAGCTCAGTGAAGGAGGCATATGAGAGAAATGGACATCAAAGGAGGATATTGGAAGGTAAAGAAAGGGTCTTAAGAAGAAAGGGTCAGTGGTACTTGAAGGAGGTTTATTAACGAGGTCCTTTATGACCTTGGGGTTGTCTAGTGATATGGTGGGCGTGAGTGAGAAAATAGAGGTAATGAATATCGACTGTTCTTTTAAAAAGAGAGGGAGTTAAGGAAGGGGGAAGTGTTGAGGATCATATGACTATGAGAAGGGCTTTTCAAGTCATGGGAAGCTTTAGCCTGTTTTGTAGACGAAGAGAAAAGATTTACTTCAGGATTTTTTTTTTTTTAAGGGAAATAATCACACAGGTCTGAAAATATGCTCATGATAGTGGAAAAACAGAGCCAGCATGGTGGCTCATGCCTGTAGTCCCAGTGCTTTGGGAGGTCAAAGCGGGAGGATTGCTTGAGCCCAGGAGTTTGAGACCAGCCTGGGCAACATAGTATGACCCTGCTTCTTACAAAACTCAGACAAACAAACAAACAAAAAATAGTTGTGGTGGTGCACAGCTGTAGTCCCAACTACTCAGGAGGCAGAGGCAGGAAGATTGTTTGAGCCCAGGAATTTTCAGGCTGCAGTGACCTATTAATATGATTGTACCACTGCATTCCAGCCTGGGTGACAGAAGAAGTCCCCATCTCTTTAAAAAACAAAAAGTGGATAAGCATTGGAAACCACCTAAATGTACAAGAGAAGTTTTAAACACACACACATACAGAGTTTAGAAAAGTATCCACCAATATGTGAATAATTATTCTTTCTGAGTAATAGGCCTATGTTTTCTCCATTTTTTTCCTCAGGGAATATATATTACTTTTGTAAATAAGAGGAAAAGATTTTTTTAAAAAAGAGAGAGAGCACACGTACAGGAGTTATTGGCAAGGTGGCTCAGCTGCTACTCTGAGCTAGATAGAAGGAAGAGAGACTGGGTGAAAGTAGGTCTTGTTCAATGGCTCAGATGTCTGAGGAAGTTAGGAGGTAAGGCCATCTGCAAAAGATGAAGTATGGCAGTTAGCACTTAAGAAATGTGGGAAATGTTTTAAGAGGCCTCTCTAAGGTTTTATAGTTTTGTCTATAGCAAAGGGGATATGAAAGAAATGAAAGAAACTGTCATTGTTCTGTACAGAAGCCAAAGGAGGTACCAGGAGACTGGAGTCCAGGTGGAAACCCGTAATGATATCTGACTCGGGGCTTCTCAGGCATCAGTCACACCATAGCAATTCAAACAGTGGAGCAGAGTTGCGGATAGCCTTGAGTTGGACCTAGAATACTGGATGGAACAAGGGGAAAATCCATTCCCTGCCTCTTCCAGCTTCTTGTGGGCACATCATTCCATCCTCTGCCTCTGTGGTCACATTGCCTTCCCCTCTTCTGTCTGTATGAAATCTCCCTCTGCCTCTCTCATATCAGGATTTGTGTGATGTAATTTAGGGCCCGCCTGGATAATCCGGAATTATCTGTCATCTCAAAATCACTAACTTGATCACATCCACAAAGTCCCTATTACCATGTGAGATAGTATACACAGGTTCCAGGGATTAGGACCTGGACATCTTTGGTGACCATTATTCAGCCTCCTATACTATTTTATAGCCCTGGGTCTGCTGACAGGTGGAGTGGCCATCACTAACCTGTAATCTGGTGAAATGGTGTCACCACTCAGTGTATGAAACCAGGGCAAGCCTTTTGCAATGAGAAAATCACCATCCTTAGCATGCCTCTCAAATCATCATTCCCGTTCACTGACAGCCCCAGCAGGGTGGAAGGAGGACTCTGTAGTGTCTGGAGCTTGTATTTTCTCTTTGTCCTTTTCAATACAGTACTCTTTCCGTATAGTCCTTCTTCTTTTAAAGTATCATGTTATTTTGGCCTTCTTGGATGGCAGCTAGCCGTCATTGAGCCTGTGCTCAATGTCAGCACTTTATGGGGAGCATCGTTTAGCCCAAGACAAGCTAGTAGGGATATTGCTCATTTCATCACAGTAGAGAGAAAGAAACCATGGTTACTCAATTGGCCCAAAGCACGAGATACCAAAAGTGGAATGAGGTTTCAGGCCCAGGTCTTCAGCCATAGAGCCAGTGCTCTTAACTACTGTGATGTATACTGCTTGATGGCTGTCATTTCTTTCATCAGTCACGAGTCCATCAGATTATTTAAGTTTTTGGTCATGTGTTTTTAAAACTCTGGTTTAGTTTTATTAGATAATTATAGCTGTTTCTGTCAGAAGTGATTGTGGGAATTAATACTTAATTGGAACACAACTAATTTTTCAAAATAATTGGCTGAGATTGAATCCTTTTTTTTTTTTTTTTATTATAAGTGAGGGAAGTATCTCGAGTGAGAGTTGCCCTCTGTAAAAATGCATTAGAACCCCAACTTCATTAAATTGGACTCAAGTGATCTAGTATATTACCGTTGCTTCTCAACAGCCGTTTCTTCAGAAGTACTTCAAATGAAAATTGTAAACAGAATTTCAAGGAGAATACTTAAAATGCTTGAAGAAATAAACAGCTCTAGTCATTTTAGGAGTAATGGATTTTGTACAGCTAATTGATGTGCCGGGCATCCTTAGGTCCCTTAACCTTTCCTTCTTGGCACTACTTTATCCACTTATCTTTAGTTACATTGTATATGTAAAACTAATGAAGTTACATTTCTTTATTTTTGTAGATTCAAGGGGTAAATGTACAGGTTTGTCACATGGATATATTGCATAGTGAGGTTTGGGCTTCTAGTTTACCTATCACCCGAATAGTGAGTATTGTATCCAGTAGGTAATTTTTCAACCCTCATACATAGGATCTTTCACTTGGTCTGCCTTTTCCATGAATTAGTTAAAATAAACGAATTTCCATTTCCATTTCCATTTCCTTGAATTGGGTAAAATGACTGTAACAGATGTCTGTTGCATGGCTGCTAGAATTTTGGAAGCTCCATGGAAGAAGTCTTTTAAAAACCAACCCAAAATAACATAATATATACAAATTGTTGATACACATGTGAAAAGAAGGAACTCTCATACATTGTGGGAATGTGAAATGGTACAACCACTTTTGAAAATAGTTTGGCAGTTTCTTTTAAGAATTAAACATGCATTCACCATATGATCCAACCATTTCACTCCAAGATATTTTACCCAGGAGAAATAAAAACACTGTGTCCCTTCAAAAAATGTGTATGCAAAAGTTCACGCCAGCACTATTCATAGTAACCAAATGCTAGAAACAACCAAATGTCTGTCAGTTGATGAATGGATAAATAACATGTGGTCTATCTACATACAATGGAAGGGTATGTGACCATGAGAAGGAAGGAAGTACTGATTCATGCTACAACACAGATCAACCTTGAAAACATGATGCTAAGTGAAAGAAGCCAGTCACAAAAGGCCACCTATTGCATTATTCTATTTATGTAAAATTTCTAGTAAAGGCGAACTATAGGGACAGGAAGCAAATCAATGGTTGCCTGGGGCTCAAGGTGGGAGAAGGATTGACCTTAGATGGCACGGGTAAACTTTTTGGGTAATGTGGGTGTTCTACAACTAACTACATTATGGTGATAACTGCACAACTGTATAAATTTGCTAAATCTTATTGCACTCACACTCAGGATGGGTATATTCCATAGTTTATAAAGTATATTTCTGTAAATGCATGAATCATCAAAAAATGACATCATAGCAATAACCCATTGTATACATAAATTTATTGATACTTCTAAGTCTCAAATTTTTATTAGAATGCTTTAAGTACCCTACTGTTTATGAGCCAAACAAGAGTTGATATATTGCCAATTTAAAGGTCAAAAGGTGGATTTCACTGTATCAGACTTTTACAGTCTAGACGCAACCTGTTGGGTCCGTGATTTTTTTTTTAATCTGATCACTGTTATGGGTTGAATTTTTGTCCCTCAAAAATTTATATGTTGAAGTCCTGACCCCCCGTACCTCAGAGTGTGACCCTATTTGAAAATAAGGTCTTTGCAGACATGTTTAGTTGAAATGAAACTGTACTGGAGTAGTGTGGGCCCTTACTTTGTTATGACTAGTGTCCTTATAAAAAGAAATTTGGACACAGACACACACACACAGTGAGACTGCCATGTGAAGATTGAAGTTTTGCTGCCACAAGCCAAGGAACAACCAGAAGCTAGAAGAGTGACCTGGAAAAGATCTCTAGTGATTAGCGTGGCACTGCCAGCACCTCGGTCTCAAACTTCTAGCCTCCAGAACTGTGAGACAATGTATTTTTGTTGTTTAAGCCTCATAGTTTGTGGTACTTTATGACAGCCCTAGCACACTATCACAGTCGCATCCATGAAAATAAGTTTGGGATGCAGTTTGGCTTTTGGTTTGTTTGGGTTTGTTTTTTAATACCTACGCACATTCAAATGCAGTGTCTGTAGAGGATAATCAACAGATCCTGCAGCTCTTAGTGTTTCATTTTGATAAATCTTTGTTCTGGACATTAATATTTTAAAGCATGGCTTTTTCTAAGTTTAAAAACTATCAAATTTAAGCAGTATCTTATAGCTCCCTACTGACTCACATATTTTTCTTTGTCAGCTCGTTTTGACAGGAGCCATTCAAGTAGCAGACAAAGTTTCTTCAGGGAAGAGTTCGGTGCTTGTGCATTGCAGTGACGGATGGGACAGGACTGCTCAGCTGACATCCTTGGCCATGCTGATGTTGGATAGCTTCTATCGGAGCATTGAAGGGTTTGAAATATTGGTGCAAAAAGAATGGATAAGTTTTGGACATAAATTTGCATCTGTAAGTAAGCAAAGCTAATTTCTAAAAATAGATCACTACCATTCGCGATTTTTTTTTTTTTTTTTTTTTTGAGACGGAGTCTCACGCTGTTGCCCAGGCTGGAGTGCAGTGGCGCGATCTCGGCTCACTGCAAGCTCCGCCTCCTGGGTTCACGCCATTCTCCTGCCTCAGCCTCCTGAGTAGCTAGGACTACAGGCGCCCACCACCGCGCCCGGCTAATTTTTTGTATTTTTAGTAGAGACGGGGTTTCACTGTGGTCTCGATCTCCTGACCTTGTGATCCGCCCGCCTCGGCCTCCCAAAGTGCTGGGATTACAGGCTTGAGCCACCACGCCCGGCCTTACCATTCGCGATTTTAAAACTAGTTGTTAAGTTACATATTCAATATTACAATGAAAATCTGAGGAGTGTAATAAAAACTTTACGAGTTTGAAAATGCATGATGCCTTGGGTAGTGAAAGTCTTTTTAAAAAGTGACACGTTTATCCATCTGCACTGTTCGCAGTTTCACTTGAAAGTAATACAAAGAATCTTCATGGAAATGTTTACGTTGAAATTTCCTAAGAGAAGGAAGATAGACAATTCTTTCTCAAATAATATAGCTATTAGAGTCAAATATATTTTATAGATTTTTAGTTGAGGCTTTTATTTCTGATATGCATTTTTTAAATCATCAAGAAATGAGTAAGTTCAAAAGCACTATTGTATAACATGGTGACTATAGTTAATATATTCTTGAACAATGTTAAAAGAATGGATGTAAAGTTTTCTTACCACAAAAATGGTAACTGTGAGGTAATAATGTGTATGCTAATTGGTATATTCAGTCATTCTACAATGTATATATACTTCAAAACATATTGTACACAGTCAATGTATATAAATTTCTCTCTCGAAAATAAAAATAAAATAAGTTTTAAAAAATAACCCCCCAAGAATTTTTTTAAATGAAATCATCAAAAGAACCTATTATAATTCATATTCCTAGGTCTTATTTCCAGATGCCCTTTGAATACACATTTTGACCCAGCTCCCCAGTGATTCTCATGAAGGAGATCCGTAGGCTACCCTTTCAGAAACACTGCTATGTATCCTTTTAGCCTTCACCCAGGTTTCATAGTGTGAATAACATTTTCAAGTAGAAAGAATCATTGTGTTTTTGTTTTGTTTTGTTTGTTTGTTTGAGATAGAGTTTCGCCCTTGTTGCCCAAGCTGGAGTGCAATGGCGTGATCTCGGCTCACTGCAACCTCCACCTCCTGAGTTCAAGCGATTCTCCTGCCTCAGCCTCCCGAGTAGCTGGGATTACAGGCGTGCACCACCATGCCCAGCTAATTTTTTGTATTTTTAGTAGAAATGGGGTTTCACCATGTTAGCCAGGCTGGTCTCAAACTCTTGACCTCGTGATGCGCCCGCCTCAGCCTCCCAAAGTGCTGGGATTACAGGCGTGAGCCACCACACCCAGCCATAGAAAGAATCATTGTTTAGTAAATGAATACATTGTGAGATTTTTTGGTTTTTTCTTGTTTTTAAGAGAGAAAGAACATTTAATTCTAATAATCATACCTTTTGGACATGATTTTAAGTCTCGAAACTTTAGGATTGTTCTCTTTGCAACTGAAAGAACTAGGTTGAGTGTATTGCTAACATACTATGTAGGATAATCATGTCCATTCTATCTATAGCTGTTTAGGACTCATACAAAATTCCAATCATATGAAATAATTGTAACAATCACCTAGGATGATGATTCTTTGGCAATTTTTATTGGTATTTTACAGACGTTTATATACTTAATTTCCATTATTTTGAAACCTTACATTGCCTATATTGCCATGGAAGTATATATTATTTCCTCTCTGAGAAACTTGGCATTTAGAAGGCAGATTGCTGAACTGTATTGTCACATTTTGTGTTATATGCTTTCTCAGTTTTGTACCCATTAATTAAAACAAATTATCTTCATCAATTTATTTCAGCGAATAGGTCATGGTGATAAAAACCACACCGATGCTGACCGTTCTCCTATTTTTCTCCAGTTTATTGATTGTGTGTGGCAAATGTCAAAACAGGTAAGGAATATGTGGGATGAAAATACATTCGACTTAATGTTTAAATTAAACATTTTAATATAATGGTTGGGATTTGACCCCAAAATAATACAGGGTAGAGATAGAGATGAAGCACGACTGGTCATGTGTGAATAATTGCAGAAGCCAGGTACATGAGTGTTCACCTTTTTATTCCTGCTACTGTTGATATATCTGGGATTTTCCCTTAAAAAGTTTTAAAAATTAAATATTTAACTGTTATCTCTACTAGTGGAAGATCAATGAATTGACAGTACCAAGTTGTCGTTTATATATATTTTACACTGACACTTCTATATAGCTGTGTCTGCTATCTCATAATACCTTGAATAACTAAACCACACTGTACCTGCAGGAGAGCCCAGAAAATCAGCCTGTTTATCTCCTTTTCCTCTTTATTGCTTTATTTAACACTTAAAGTGCTCAGTCCTATATATACTGCCAAAAAAAGAACAACTGTAGTATGTGTGCAGATTACAGCCTCTGCTGTCCTTTCTAGAGCCCTACAATGTGGCAGCATTTGTTTACTTCTAAGGTGTATCTTTCTACTTTTATAAAGTTTCAGTCCCAGTTTTTCATGCTTTGTTTGCTTGCTTTTGTTTAGTTCCCTACAGCTTTTGAATTCAATGAACAATTTTTGATTATAATTTTGGATCATCTGTATAGTTGCCGATTTGGTACTTTCTTATTCAACTGTGAATCTGCTCGAGAAAGACAGGTGAGTTAAAATGCTAATTTTTTGTTGTCGTTATATATTAGGCTTGCCAAAATGTATGTAGTCTGCCATGAAATATAAAAATATGATTAGCTTGTAAGACACTGTCTTTGACCTCAAAGAGTAGGAATTACATTAAATGTATGCATTTTGTGCTCTATAAAGGAAAACCTGAGGCTGGGTAACTTATAAAGAAAAGAGGTTTAATTGGCTCACAGTTCTGCAGGCTGTACAAGAAGCATAGTGCCGGCATCTGCTTAGTTTCTGGTGAGAACCTCAGGCTGCTTCCACTCATGGCAGAAGGTAAAGGGGAGCCAGTATGTAGAGATCACATGGTGAAAGAGGAAGCAAGAGAGCAGGGAGAGGGTGCCAGGCTCTTTGTAACAACCCAGCTCTCTTGGTAACTAATATAGAGTGACAACAAACACCTAAGAGAGAGCATCAATCTGTTCATGAGGGCCCTGTCCTCATGACCCAAACAGCTCCCACTAGGCCCCACCTCCAAAACTGGGGATCAGATTTCTTTTTCTTTTTCTTTTTGTTTGTTTGTTTGTTTGTTTTTGTTGTTGTTGTTTGAGACAGGGTTTCACTGTTGCCCAGGCTGGAGTACAGTGGCACAATCTTGGCTCACTGCAACCTCCGCCTCCCGGGCTCAAGCAAGATTCTCCCACCTCAGCCTCCTGAGTAGCTGGGACCAGAGGTGCACGCCACCACAGCCGGCTAATTTTTGTATTTTTAGTAGAGATGGGGTTTTGCCATGTTACCCGGGCTGGTCTCGAACTCCTGAGCTCAAGTGATCCACCCGCCTCAGCCTCCCAAAGTGCTGGGATTACAGGTGTTGAGCCACTGCGCCCAGCCTGGTGATCAGATTTCAACATGAGGTTTGGAGAGAACAAATATTCAAACTATGACAGAGCTTCCCCCAAAAGTAAAAATATAGCTACCATATGATCTAGCACTCCCACTATTGGGCACATATCTAAAGGAAATGAAATAATCATGTCAAAGAGGTTATCTGCAGTCTCATGTATATTGCAGCACTATTCACAGTAGCCAAGATATGGACTCAACCTGTGTCCATCAACAGATGAATAAAGAAAACATAGTACCTATATACAGTGGACTACTACTCAGCCATAAAAAAGGAAATCCTACCATTTGCAACAACATAAGTAAATCTGGAGGACATTATGCTAAGTGAAATAAACTAGGCACAGAAAGACAAATACCACATGATTTCCCTTATGTGTGGAATCTAAGAAAATTTGAACCTATAGTAATAGAGAGTAGAAGGGTAGTTATCAGGGGCTGGGGAAGGGGTAAGGGAAAGGGGGACATAGTGGTCAAAAGATACAAACCTTCAGTTATAAGTACTGAAGACCTAATGTGCAGTATGGTAATTGTAGTTAATGTATATTTGAAATTTGCTAAAATAATATTCTCACTACAAAAAAAAAAATTGGTAACTAGATGAGGTGACATGTTAATTAGCTTGATTGCGGTGATTATTTCATAATGCATACATATATCAAAACATCACATTGTATACCTTAAATATATACAGTTTTTGTTTGTCAGTTGTAAATAATACTGGGGGGAAAAACACAATTGTTTCCGGGAAAAGAGGTGAGAGAGAGCACTTTTTTTCATAACCTTGTCAAACTATTTGGCTTTTTAAACTATGTGCATATATAAAAATAAAAACAGTAACATGCAAATAAATACAATGTGGTATATAGATTTTGGCATCAAAAAGGTACAACTGAGGTTTTAGGTGGATTCAAAGAAAGGCAAAATTATGCTGTCATTCATGAAATGAAATACATATGTTTAATAAATTTCTTTTCTTTTTTTTTTTTTTTTTTTTTTTGTCTTTTGAGATGGAGTTTCACTCTTGTCACCCAGGCTGGAGTACAGTGGCACGATCACGGCTCACTGTAACCTCTGCCCCCCAGGTTCAAGCAATTCTCCTGCCTCAGCCTCCCCACCACTCCCAGCTAATTTTTGTATATTTGGTAGAGACGGGGCTTCACCATGTTGGTCAGGCTGGTCTCAAACTCCTGACCTCAGGTGATCTGCCTGCCTCAGCCTCCCAAAGTGCTGGGATTACAGGTGTGAGCCACTGCGCCTGGCCAAGAAATTTCTTTAGTCATTTATTTTGGGATGTTCTTTCAGGCTTCCAGTTTTAGCTTATTGCTCTTTCCTTATTAAAGTCATTACTGGGAAAAATTTCAGATTGTACCTTTGGTAATTTTAATTCTTGTATTTTTATTTCCCTAGCTCTGGTGTTTTGTTTTGTTTTGTTTTGTTTTTCTCTCTCTAGTTTATGGTCAGAATTTTGTAAACGCCTGCAATAGAAAGCAATGCAAATGTGAATATCTTTATGCGATGGCAACACTAGGCTAAAAAGTGAAGATTTCGTGTAGTCAGTTATCCAGATGTTTTCACAGATATGGATGTTGACATGTAGATTAAACATCTGGATGGTTGATTAAAATAACTATGTCCAGATGCCTACCGTCAAGTAGACACAGATTAAGATTTCATAGTTCCAACAAATGGAAAAGTTTTAAAAGTCATTGGGATCTTATGATAATTTTTCTTTTCACTGAATTAAGAAGAGTATACTACCTATCTGTTCATAAATGTTTTACCTAGCCAGGAATACTCTTCTTAGGTCAGTGAATTGCATTTAATGGTACAGTATCCTGCACCCCTGTCTTCAGGCAGAAATAGTGGCTCTCAAGCTAGGCCATTACCTATGCAAATATCGATAAGTGGCTGCCAAGCACTCACTGGCCTGTGAGGCTTTTTGAGCTATTATGAGGATAATGTAAATGTATGATTCAATTTGATGCTGCGCTGTATTGCTACAGGCTGCAAAATGGCTTGTGGATTTATGTGTGTTTTTACTTAGGCTTTCCACTTTCTCTCTCTCTCTCTCTCTCTCTCTCTCTCTCTCTCTCTCTCTGTAGAAAGTTACAGAAAGAACTGTTTCTTTATGGTCACTGATAAACAGTAATAAAGAAAAATTCAAAAACCCCTTCTATACTAAAGAAATCAATCGAGTTTTATATCCAGTTGCCAGTATGCGTCACTTGGAACTCTGGGTGAATTACTACATTAGATGGAATCCCAGGATCAAGCAACAAGTAAGTGAAGTAGCACTGTTAAAAGATAGCAATGTCAACTGCTTGCCTTAGATAATATTATTTGGTAAGGATTTTTTTAACAGCATGAAGAAAAAGATCAGACTCTAAAAACACACTTATTGTTAAACTCAACCTTAATTTAAATTTTTTTAAATTACTAAACCATGTGTTTTGATGTTAAGCTACAATTCTTCTGCCAATGTGATATAATTGTTTACTATAATGCAAGCTGATTTAAAGCTCTAGAAAATTTGAGTTTTCATAGCCAGAGATTTCCTTTTATCACTTGAAGTAGTTGTTCATTATACAGACATTGTTAGAACATTCTTTACATTGACTAGACTTAGATGATCCTGTTACGAAAATGTTTGCTACTCTCATTCAGGTGTATGCACTAGGTCAGCTAACATCAGATTGCTTTTCACTGAGTGTATTTACTTCTAAAATAAAGATAATTACTCTGTCAATGGTAGTAAATTCAGTTGGCCATTTATCAAACAAAAATGGAAACAATGAGTTTTGAAGTGAAAGACTCTACATTTTGTTAAAGACACACTTGGGCTTTCCATTCTCCCACCTCCGCTCCATCCAAAACCAGAAGGAAAAACAGCCTGTTCGTAAAGGCTCAGCAGTGCTTCAGTTTGTTGATTTATTCTAAGCATTATAAATATTCAGTATTTGTGATGGTTCTTTGTAAAGGTTTGCACATTTTCCTGCAGTGTGGGTGGTCGACTACCTGTTCTCACAGTTCAGTCTTGCATAAGCACCAGCTTTAATGCCAGAAATAGGCTGTCCACAGCAGGGTCCCATAGCTGTGGCCTCTCTCTCAGATTGTTCATTCCTCTCAGGCAGTTGGCTACACGCCAGTCTGTGCCCTGCCTCCTCACTGGAGAAGTGCCCATTTCAAGCTGGCACCCTCATTTCAAGGTCTGTGCTACTCACGTGAAAGGCTTTTGCAATTTGGTAATGGTTGAAATGTGTATTCTTTTGGAAAGTGACAGATTCCAGGGCTTGAGAACATTCACTTGTTTAGTTTGGAATTTGAGAAGCAAATGGGGGGAGTTTATTTAACAGTAGTTCTAGCATTTTGGAATATCAAGTAAAGAATAAATAATAATCCTTACAGAATTCTAACTGCTTTTACAAGAGAGGTGTTCCTTATTAAAAAATATTTTATAGATGAGCACTGTGTTTGTCCTATAAAATAAACCTTTTCCATATTTGTCATGACTTGTTTTTAAAATACTGGCAATGAGAAAGTACGGGTAGTTTTTGTAGAAGTCCTGTAATCTCTTCTCACCCATTTGTACTTGGAGAAATTCTTGAAATTCAAGGAATTTGGAGCAGTTCATTTCTGAATTCATGAAGGTAACAATGATAATAATTATGTGACAGGTCAAGTTTGAGGGTACATCATTAGAAGAACTTAGTAGAATATATTTATCCCTCTTATTCTCATAGATCTTGGCAAAATGGAACTGGCCTGGAGAGGAGTGCTCATTCTCTGGTAGGGGTTTTTACTTTGAGACAGGAATTGGCCTATATTGTGATCTATTGGCATGAATTCAGAAAAGAAATAACTTATCCTTTCTATGTGGATTTTCTGAAAGTGAAGGATCCTATACACGTCTTTATCTCCCTAGGCACTTTGTGTTTTCATCTACCAAATATTGAGTGTTCTCATGCAGGCACTGGGGGGATGCCGAGATTAAGAAGAGGCGGTCTCTGCCCGTGAGTAGCTCCCAAGCTGGTAGGGGCGGTCAGAAACATAAGCCAATGATTATAATGCACAGGGATAAGTGTAAGAATAAAAGTATGAATTAAGTACATTAGGTTTTCTTAAAGATCTGCTTATGTAGAACATTATTTCATACAGAAATAGATTAAATCAAATCGCATAGGACTTTTAAAAGTACATAATATAAACCTAAGAGAATGTACTTAACCACTTAAAAGTTAAATTGTTATTCAGTTGCGTGAGCCAGAAGGTATACAAACAATTACTGGCCACCTGTAGTATTCACAGCACTATGGTGGTATACTATCAATGTTGAAAGATACAAAAGAATATATAGCCTCATAATGAGCTGTTAGCCGCAAGGAAGGCAGGATTAGTGTGCTTTTAAAAGCAAAAGCCACCAACCCTTGCTGTGACATAAAAACTCAGCAGAGTTTATGGAAAGACCAATGCTTACATTTGAAAAGCTATCAATAAGCAGATCTGGTGCTTTTATTTAATACGAGGAAATTACTCATGTCAAAAGCATAGTCACATTACAAACCTGAGTAGGAATTTCAGCTGCCAGTGAGCATCATAGGGTACTCTAGGAACCATTGCATTACATGTAGCTGTTAATCAGGGTTACACTGGATGTATTGAAATTTTGTTTAGTGGTAACTGAAGGATGAGATTCAGGACAAATATTAGCAGGCTGACCTGTGTGGCATTTGTTTCAGTCATTTTTGATAGAAAAATTAAAAGGGATCTGAATATGAAAATTGTTTGAAGCCTAAAATACTTCCATAATGAGCTGATTGCCTGTCTTCTTTTCCATGCCATGCCAAGCTGGGACATACTTTATAATTCATTTCCCAAGTGAGAAGTTGAGGTGTAATATTTTGTCACTTGGCTTGAAGTTTTCATTTCTTGTTGTTTGTCTTTGTATTCTATCACAAATGGACTCTTCTTTTATCTCCTCTAAGTGGTTTGTGTTTGTCTGTAGCCCAATAACTTCTACATATTTTATACCCATTACTTGACTGAATTATCTTTTTATTTCTAACAGTTTTTCTGTGTACTCTCTTCAGTTTTCTAATGATACAGTCATGCCATCTGCAAAAATTACTGTTACCTGATTTCTTTTTCTTATCTAATTGCACATGCTCATTGTAATACTCAAGCTGATTCTAAATTCTAATACTCATATTTCAAAGGGAGGTTTTAAAAATAGCCACAATTTTGGGGGAGAATATCAAGGAAGAACCTGCCCTGCTATATAGCAAGACTTACTTGGAACAGAGTAGAGCCCAGAAACAGACCTGCATCGATGTGGAGACTTGGAATAGTAAGAAGGTGGTGATGTAACACATCCCTATGAGTGGAATGTTCAGTAAACGGTGCTGGGACTGGAAATAAAAGTTAACATGTGAAAACAGAACTGCTAACGTTTCCCCCAAAACCTCTTCCTCCTGCCATCTTCCCCATTTCAGTTCGTGGTAGCTTCAGCCTAGTTGCCCTGGCCAGGAACCTTAGAGTCATCCTTCACACCTTTCTCTCCCACACCCCATGTCCAATCTGTCAGGAGAGCTTGTTGGGCTCTGCCTTCAAAACACATGTAGAGTCCGAGCACTTCTCACTGAGCCCCCACCACCACGCTGGTGTGTGTTGCCTGCCCTCTCCCGTGTGTGGCAGCAATGGCCTTCTAGCTGGACCCCCTGATGCTACCTTTACTTCTTTCTGCTCTTCTCAACATGGCAGCCAAAGCAGATCATGCCACTCAGCTGCTGGAAACTGGCCAGGTAGCTGCTCACCTCACCCAGAGTCCAGGCACAAGTCCTTACAATGGCCTCTTAAGCCTCGTGTGACCTCCACCCCACCCCTTACCTCTGTGACCTCCTGGCATCCTCACCAACAACTCTTTCTCACATGCTCAGCTTCAGCCAGACGCCTCTGCTCTTCCTCAGACACTCAGGTATCCACTTGATGCCCTCCTTCATCTCCCTTAAGTCTTTGCCCAAAAGTTACCTCTTCAGTGCAGCTCACTCCAACCATCCAGTTTAGAGTGGAATCCTCTTACCCTGCTCTAGTCTTCTGTAGAATTGATCACCTTCAAACATTCTGTGAAACTCCCAGGATGGTTAGGTTCGTCGTTTGTCCGTCTCCCCCTGCTAGAAGATAAAGGCCATAAAAATAGTCATTTGGGCCTCCTTTGTTCACTGGTGGATCCTGAGCACCTAGAACAGTGTCTGGCCCTCAGTTGAATTTTAAGAGAAAAATGGACAAAGGATATTAGCAAGCATCCCACAGCACTTACTGGGTGTTAGGCATTCTGCCAAGCATTTTTGAAAAACTTTCCACTGCCAGGTCACACCCTAAAAGTCACAGTGATCATAGGGAGAATGGGATTAAGAGACTTCTGCAATCCTATGGGGCTTTGTAACTGGAGCACTAATGGAAGCACCAGTCCCAGTAGAAATGTGGGCACAGTTCCATCTCTGCTGCATTTGTACCTGGCTTTAGCTGATTCACACCTTGGCTGCCTGTAGTGGGTAGAATGGTGTGTCCCCCAAAAGACAGCGACCCAGAACCTGTGAATGTGACCATATTTGGGAAAAAGATCTTTGCAGTTGTAATTAAGTTTAGGATCTCAAGATGAGATCATCCTAGATTTAGGGTGGGTGAGCCCTAAATCCAATGACAGATGTCCTCAAAAGAGAAAGGAGGGGAAGATTTGAGACCCAGACATAGAGGAGAGAAGGCCATGTGAAAACAGGCAGAGATTGCAGCGATGCTGCCATAAGCCAAGGAACACCTGGAGCCACTAGAAGCTGGAAGAGGTGAGAAAGAATTCTCCCCTAAAGCCTCCAGAGGGTGCATGGCCCTGCTGACGTCCTAATTTGGGGCATCTGCCCTGCAGAACCATCAGAGAATAAATTTCTGTTGTTTTAAAAGCCACCCAACTTTGTGTTAATTTTTTAGGGCAACCTCATGGCTCATGCTCCCTTCTCTGGGATACAGGTTCTAGAAAGTGTCTGCTTCTAATAGAGACCATTCTCCTGAACATTAAAAATTGGATCCAGACCAGATACAGTGGCTCACATCTGTAATCTCTGCACTTTGGGAGGCTAAGGCAGGAGGATCACCTGAGCCCAGAAATTCAACACCAGCCTAAGCAACATAGTGAGACCCCCTGCCCCATCTCTACAAAAAAAAAAAAAAAAAAAAAGTTTTAAGTAGCCGGGCGTGGCAGTGCATGCTTGTAGTCCTAGCTACTTGGCCGGCTGAGGCAGGAAGATCGCCTGAGCCCAGGAGTTCAAGGTTACAGTGTTCAAGGTTTTGCTGAGCTATGATTGCACTGCACTCCAGCCTGGCAACAAAGTGAGACCCTTTCTCTTAAAAAAAAAAAAAAAAATTAACTGCAGCATTCTTCATCAGTGTATTGTCTTCACAGCTTCCTTGTTGGTGCTCACAGCTTCAGCAAATAGTTCAACACAGTAGAAAGCAGGATGGTTCTGGAAACCACTATATGTGGAAGGCACTTCTGTTAGATGTTCAGCTTTTTTCTTTTTCTTTTTTTCCTTCAAAAAAAAAAGGGGGTGGTGGATACATGTGCAGAACGTGCAGGTTTGTTACATAGATATACGTGTGCCATGGTGGTTTGCTGCACCTGTTGATCCATCCTGAGTTCCCTCCCCTCACCCCCCACTCCCCAACAGGCCCTGGTGTGTGTGTTCCCCTCTCTGTGTCCATGTGTTCTCAATGTTCAGCTCCCACTTATGAGGGAGAACATGCAGTGTTTAGTTTTCTGTTGCTGTGTTAGTTTGCTGAGGATGATGGCTTCCAGTTCATCCATGTCCCTGCAAAGGACATGATCTCATTCCTTTTTATGGCTGCATAGTATTCCATGGTGTGTATGTACTACATTTTCTTTATCCAGTCTATCATTGATGGACATTTGGGTTGGTTCTATGTCTTTGCTATTGTAAATAGTGCTGCAATAAACATGTGTGCATGTGTCTTTATAGTAGAATGATTTATATTCCTCTGGGTATAATGGGATTGCTGGGTCTAATGGTATTTCTGGTTCTAGATCCTTGAAGAATCGCCACACTGCCTTCCACAATGGTTGAACTAATTTACACTCCCACCAACAGTGTAAAAGTGTTCTATTTCTCCACAGCCTTGCCAGCATCTATCATTTCCTGACTTTTTAATAATCGCCATTCTGACTGGCATGAGATGGTATCTCATTGTGGTTTTGATTTGCGTTTCTCTGATGATCAGTGATGATGAGCTTTTTTTCATATCTTTGTTGGCCACATGTATGTCTTCTTTTGAGAAGTGTCTGTTCATATCCTTTGCCTACTTTCTGATGGGGTTGTTTATCTTTTTTTGTTGTTGTTGTAAATTTGTTTAAGTTCCTTGTAAATTCTGGATATTAGACCTTTGTCAGATGGGTAGATTGCAAAAATTTTCTCTTATTCTATAGATTGCCTCTTCACTTCGATGCTAGTTTCTTTTGCTGTGCAGAAGCTCTTTAGTTTAATTAGATCCCATTTGTCCATTTTGGCTTTTGTTGCAATTGCGTTTGGTGTTTTTGTCATGAAGTCTTTCCCCATGCCTATGTCCTGAATGGTATTGCCTAGGTTTTCTTCTAGGGTTTCCATGGTTTAGGGTTTTACATTAAGGTCTTCATATATTGCTTAAGCTTTCTAGAAAGTGCTTGCCCCTGATCCCTTCAAAACATTAACTTTCTGGAGTACTGTTCTGTTGTATATCTTGACCTGGGTGTGATAACTTAAGTGTGTATGTATGTCAAGATTCACTGAGCTGAACATCTGAAGATTTTGCACTGTGCGTGGTTTATATCTCAGTACAAAACTTTTAAAACTTAACATGCTGGGAGAATCGCGTTATGCTCCAGCCTGACTTCTGCCTTTGTATCAACATCAATCCCTTGTTTACTCATCAAAGTAGTCACCATTGTAGCAAAAGATGCTATTAACTCACTTCACTCACACAACAATGCCATGTGAGGGCTATGCTGTTTTGATTCCCATTCTACAGATAGGGAAATGGAGGCACACAGAAGGTGAGGGGGCAAACCCAGCATTCACACCCAAGGCGGAGCATAGCAGAGCTGCTATGGCTGTCAGCCATGTATTAAGATGGGCAACACGCACATGAAAAGATGTTCTAGCAGAGCAATACAAACAAAAACTACTGTGACATACCATGTTACAGCCCTCAAATTGGAAAAAATGATAATAATCGTATACTCCCAAGTTCTGGTGAGAATGCAGAACAATGAGAACTGCCAGGTATCACCAGCAGGAGCCTCTCTGCAGACAATTTGGCAGCATCCGGTGAGGTTGAAAAGACCATATTCTACTTCTCAGCAGTTCCACCCCTAGGAAAATTCCTTAGAGAAACACTCGCATATGTGCTTGAGGAGATGTGTACAAGGATACTCAGTACAGCATTGCACACACTACCGAAGAACCCTGGAAATCACTGATTACCCGTCAGCCTGGGAAGGGGTGGAGAAACTGGTTTATTCCTTCAATGCAACTTAACAAGGATGAAATTCAGAAAACATGTTGGGTCAAAATGTCAATTAATAAATACCAGATGGTACCAGTGATGTAAACTCTGATAAAATACAAAGTAATACTGTATTTTGTTGCTGGATACTCACAGGGAAAGTGTCACAAATCTGCACAAAAAGGAAGGTCACATGGCAACTTGAGAAGAGTTGTCCCTCAGAGTGAAAGAGAACAGTGGGCCTGGGACAGGCAACACGGGAGACTGGAGCTGTGTTTGGGCTGATAAATTTTAAAAGATGGTGACACGTGTGAGGAAATGTGTACATTAGGTATTTCTTGGTGAACAAATACTTAGTACTTGGGTGTTTAGTACTGTGTGTTGTACTTTCCTGTATGTGTCAATGAGGCAGTAGTTAAGGAAAGTATGTATTATGTTAAACTTTGAGTTTACATAATACCTACTTAACTTATTTACAAAGCAGCAGTCGCAGCAGATGGGTGGAACAGGTGAGTTCTCGTGACATGCCTGGCGTAAAGTGTAACTCAAGTCTCTGGTTCTCTCCAGCAGCCGAATCCAGTGGAGCAGCGTTACATGGAACTCTTAGCCTTGCGCGATGAATACATAAAGCGGCTTGAGGAACTGCAGCTCGCCAACTCTGCCAAGCTTTCTGATCCCCCAACTTCACCTTCCAGTCCTTCGCAAATGATGCCCCATGTGCAAACTCACTTCTGAGGGGGGCCCTGGCAGTGCATTAGAGCTCGAAATAAAGGCGATAGCTGACTTTCATTTGGGGCATTTGTAAAAAGTAGATTAAAATATTTGCCTCCATGTAGAACTTGAACTAACATAACGTTAAACTCTTGAATATGTGCCTTCTAGAATACATATTACAAGAAAACTACAGGGTCCACACGGCAATCAGAATAAGGGAGCTGAGATGAGGTTTTGGAAAACGCTGACACCTTTAAAAAACAGTTTTTGAAAGACAAAATTGAGATTTAATTTACCTCTTGAGAAATACTATATATACAATATATATTTTGTGGGCTTAATTGAAACAACATTATTTTAAAATCAAAGGGAAATATGTTCATGAAATGCATTTTCCTGAAGCTGCTTAACAGTTGCTTTGGATTATTTAATATGAATCCAAATGTGAAAGATGCATGTTACTGCCAAAACCAAATTGAGCTCAGCTTCTTAGGCATTACCCAAAAGCAAGGTGTTTAAGTAATTGCCAACTTTTATACCGTCATAAGTGGTGACTTAAGGAGAAATAGCTGTATAGATGAGTTTTTCATTATTTGGAAATTTAGGGGTAGAAAATGTTTTCCCCTAATTTTCCAGAGAAGCCTATTTTTATATTTTTAAAAAACTGACAGGGCCCAGTTAAATATGATTTGCTTTTTTTTAATTTGCCAGTTTTATTTTCTAAATCCTTTCATGAGCTTGCCTAAAATTCAGAATGGTTTTCGGGTTGTGGCAGACCCCAAAGAGAGCACTGTCCAAGGATGTTGGGAGCATCCTGCTGCTTAGGGGAATGTTTTCACAAATGTTGCTCTAGTCAATCCAGCTCATCTGCCAAAATGTAGGGCTACCGTCTTGGATGCATGAGCTATTGCTAGAGCATCATCCTTAGAAATCAGTGCCCCAGATGTACATGTGTTGAGCGTATTCTTGAAAGTATTGTGTTTATGCATTTCAATTTCAATGGTGTTGGCTTCCCCTCCCCACCCTACGCGTGCATAAAAACTGGTTCTACAAATTTTTACTTGAAGTACCAGGCAGTTTGCTTTTTCAGGTTGTTTTGTTTTATAGTATTAAGTGAAATTTTAAATGCACAGTTCTATTTGCTATCTGAACTAATTCATTTATTAAGTATATTTGTAAAAGCTAAGGCTCGAGTTAAAACAATTAAGTGTTTTACAATGATTTGTAAAGGACTATTTATAACTAATATGGTTTTGTTTTCAGTGAATTAAGAAAGATTAAATATATCTTTGTAAATTATTTTACGTCATAGTTTAATTGGTCTACCAAGTAAGACATCTCAAATACAGTAGTATAATGTATGAATTTTGTAAGTATAAGAAATTTTATTAGACATTCTCTTACTTTTTGTAAATGCTGTAAATATTTCATAAATTAACAAAGTTTCACTCCATAAAAAGAAAGCTAATACTAATAGCCTGAAAGATTTTGTGAAATTTCATGAAAACTTTTTAATGGCAATAATGACTAAAGACCTGCTGTAATAAATGTATTAACTGAAACCTAAAACTATTTTCAGGGCTGTAAGTGTGTATGTGTTGGAAATGTGCATGGTGGCCATCTGATTTCTTTTCCTGGGTCTACTTCATGTACTTTTTATCTCACTGGCAACCTTGCAGGGCTCTCCCAAAATTTCAGCAAGATTGGGCATTTAAGTGCATTAACAATGCAGATTTTAAGAGTTACAACTGTCTAGGAGGATGGCTTTTGCAAAAGTGAACACGCAAAACTTCAGGCTCTGAATAGGGAACACAGCAGTTGATAGTAAGGGATGTGAAGATACTGGTTAAATAAGCCATAGTTAGTTGATGTCTCGTTAGGTAAGAATTTTTAAAATTCTTCAAACAATATTGCCACTTGGAAATTATGTTGTTTACATATGTACATTCTAAGAATGCTGAATAGTTATAGCAGTAAACTAAAACTGACCATTTTTTGACAATCAGAATAGATCACGTCCAACAGAGCTTAAAGAAAAATCAGAATAGGACTCTTAAATGACTAAGTGTATCTTTCATAACGATGAGTATTTGAAGTACTTTGTGAAGTCCTTCCTCAGACATTGCCGCATTGAACCCTCACTAGGACCTTATGAGCTAGGTGGCATTCTGTTACCCCTATTTTTCGACTGAGTAGAATGCCATTGTTCCAGGCGTTCACTGACATGGCCCACGTCCTACAGCACCACCACAGGTTCATACTGATGTTAGCCTGAAGTCTACATTTGAGTTCCCACTGAATGGCCTGAGCTCTGCCTTTTGGAATGAAATTGAAGAACCTCTCTTCCTGGGACAACTCTTCAAATAATTCAGAAACATATATTTTTGATAATAGGTTTCATTTCTAAATATAGTCATAGCACTTTCTGACCTGTTTTTGATAGTGCAGCAAAGCTTATCCTTTTGCTTTTTTGGAAGGAATAATACTCAAAAAGTCTCAGAATAAGCTGAGTAGTATTTTATCACTTGCATAATGCAGATCTGTGGTGTCATTCAGACAACTCTTGTGGCATTTGGGTACATTAGGCAAAAGCAGGACTGTCTAAATGGAAAATTCTTAATGTGGGAATTTATTAAAGAGTGTATACTCCTGTTACTGGAGGATGCACCCACTGGTGGCCATTAAAGCAAAAGAGGGGACACCCGAGAGAAATGGGAAATGTATGCAGTGCGCACCCCACAAGCAAGAATAATAGCACACTTGCAGAAAAGCATTACATGGTTGAACTACATTTCAGTTGAATTTTTTAGGTTTACAGAACCACTAAAAGTATGAAGCTGGAATACCAATATTTGAAGTAGTCTGACATGCCAAACTGATTGGTAGATTTATAAGTTAAGGGATTGTTACTGAGGTCTTCCTTCCATATTGAACATACTTGGAAGAGGAAAGAGGAGTAAAATGCAGGATTTTCACTTTCTTATGAGGCTTAGATTCAGACATGGATTAGTTCTTATTTGCAATTTCTCCTTTAAAATCAAAGATGATAACGTATTTCAAACACATAAAGTGGCTCAATGCTTAGACACGACCATTAAGGCTTAGCAGTTTGTTTCTCTGGCTTTTGAGAGCACTGCTTATTTGTTTCCAGCCGTTCTGAAATTGTTTCACAGTGGCTTCCATGTACATTATAAAAGTTGCTTACATTTCATGAACTCTGTATCACAAAGCTATGTTAGAACCCTGGATGGGATGTGTGGAAACCAGGGTTCTCATCGGCACCAGCAGTGACTTTTCCTGAAGGAAAGGTGTGAGTGAAGTCCTCGCTCCCAGATGCTACCGATATGGAGGAGGCCTCGGCCTCCATCTGCTCAGTGAGGGTGTGGGCTGCACGTTCTCAAAGTTTCCTTACAACTCACACAGCCCTTCTCAGAAATGCAGTGTTAATGACATTTGATTCACCTTTTTAATTTTTTTAAATTTACAACTGACACGTTGTAATTGTATGTACTTACGAGGTAAAATGCGATGTTTCAATGTATGTATATAAGCCAGGAGCAGAAAAACAAACACTGTATGGCTTCACTTACATGTGGAATCTTAAAAAGTTGATCTCATAGTAACAGAGAATAAAATGGTTGCCAGAGACTGAGGAGGGTAGTGGGGAAGAGGGTACCAGGAGAAGTTGGTCAATGGGTGCCAAGTTACAGTTAGAGAAGAATAAGTTTTGGTGTTCTCAAAAATGCATTTTTATCACTCATGCATGTAAAATATTTATCACACAAGATGACATTTGCCTCATATGAGTTTCCTGTTTCTGCTGTAAGAAACCCTCACAAACTTAGTGATTTATTATCTTACAACAAATGTATTAAAATTCTAGAGGTCAAAAGTCTGAAATGGGTCTCACGGTTAAAATCAAGATGTTGGCAAGGCTGCATTCCTTCTGGAAGCTCTAGGGAAGAATTATTTTCCTTGCTTTTCCAGCTTCTCGTGGCCACCTGCATTCCTTGATGCCACGACCCCTTCCTCCATCTCTAAAGCCAGCAGCAGAACATCTTCAAGTCTCTGACTCTCTTTTTGCCTCCCTTTTTGACTTTTAAGGACCCTTGTGATTACATTGGGCCCATCTGTACAGCCTAGGATAATCTGCCTGTCTCAGGGTCAGCTAATTGGCAATCTTAATTCCTTCTTGTCTTGTAACATATTCACGGGTTCTGGGGATTGGGCTGTGGGCAACTTGTGTGTGGGGGTGCATTATGGTGCCTACCACACCTCAGTTCCTTTAGCTTCGGATGGTCAGGGTATGCAAGGTGAGAAATCAGACACTGCTAGGCTTTCCTATTACAAGCTACGCAATTATAATTAGGTAAATGACTAGTTCATTTCCTTATATCTCAGACAAAATTTACACTTACAGTTGCCTTCAGTTTTATTCTCTATTTCTATTGTTGCTTCTATCCAAAGCCCCAGACCATGTACTTCAACTCCCTTCGTCTCTAAATGGAAGAAAGGGAGCTATCAATTTGGGCCATATGTGCCAAACACTGTACTATTTAGCCTCCCCATAACCTTATACAATTGATCATAATTTTTTGGTCGTTTTACAAATGAGAGAGGCTCAGAGCCAGAAGTATTTTTTATTTAAAGTAAGATCACTTCAACAAATATTTTCTATTATAACACAGACCCGTGCCAGCTGTTGAAATACAAATAAAGAAAACAGTAGGCTCCTTCAAGGAGCATCTGGCTTAGTGGGAAGACAATCCAGTTAACCAGTAATTTCCAAGCAGGGTGCTGCCTGCAAGGATAGAGACAGATGGCAGACTTCTGGGCCAGTATAGGGAACTAGGGAGGAACTTCTTGGCAATATTGTCAGAACTGAGCCTTGGAAGCTAAGTAGACATGCAAGGCTGGTTTAACATATAAACATATAAATCAATGTAATATACCACATTAACACGATGAAAGATAAAAACCATAAAATCAACTCAATTGATGCGGAAAACCATTTCACAAAGTTTAGCATCCTTTCTTTTATGATAAAAACTCTTAATAGTTTATACTTTAAAAGTTCGTCAACATCATAAAAGCCAGTTATGAAAAACCCACAGCTAACATAATCAATGGGGAACAACCATTGAGGATTGCTGAGGATTGCTCCCTCAGGGCCTTATACATCTCCTACTATTGCACTTGCCATACTTTGTTGAAATTATGTGTTGAATGTCTTTCTTCGTCACTGCACTCTAAGCTGCCTTGTTCTTAGCTATAATGCCCAATAGGGTGCCTGGCACAAGGTAGGTGCAAAATATATATATTTATTTGAATGCATGAATTGGTGAGTGAATGAACGAAGGGTACACAAGAGTGGGATTCTCTTTCTAGAGGGTTTGCTATAAAGAAAGGAGAGAGATTGGATAATAACTGTTGAGAAATGAGACAGACAGAATGGGCTTTTGAAAGGAAGAGACTTTCATGGGATCATACATCAGGAGGAAGAAGCCAGTGGCAAATGAGAGATTGCATAGAGAAGAGGGAGCTGTTACTTGATTGAACAAGGCCTCAGAGTGGGGATGAGCCCAAGGACACAGACAGAGTGGAATTTGCTTTGCACAACAGAAAGGACTCCTCTTCCTCAGCAACTAGAGGAGTGTGGGTGCAGATGAAGAAACACTGATGGAGGGAATAATGGTTCCTCAAAGATGTCCATGTCCTCATCTCCAGAACCTGTGAATATGTGAGGTTACATAGCAACGGGGAATTAAGGTAGCAGATAGAGTTAAGGTTGCAATACTAGCTGACCCTTATATGAGGAGATCGTCCTGGATTATTGAGGTGGACCCAATGTCATTACAAGGCTCTTTAAAAGTGGAAGCTGGAGGTGGAAGAGACATAAGAGTCATAGCCATGCCATGAGAGAAAGACGACTGGCCATGCTGGCTCTGAAGATGGAGCAAGGGGCCAGGAGCCAAGGACTGCACAGCCTCTAGAAGCTGGAAAAGACAGGGAACAGATTTTTCTCTAAAGCATCCAGAAGGAACACAGCCCTGCCCACACCTCGAGTTTAGCCCATGAGACCTGGGTTGGACTTTCATCTCCAGAAATAATAAATTATTATTAATATGACATTAATAATAATTAGTGAGATAATAAATGTATGTTGTTTAAGCCACTAAGCTTGGGTAATCTGTTACAGCAACCATAGGGTATGAATTCAAGGGGGATAGGGAATCTGAGGGAGTTCATGCCTGATTACCTCAATGTTCTTACACACTCCCACTATACCCACGATAGCAGAAGCCTGTAAGGAAAATTGCTTGGCCCAGAGCAGAGGAGAGGGAAGAAGATTCAAATGTCCCTGAGAAGTGGTGCTCACTAGCAGGCTTTCCAGTATAGTTCAAATTCACTTCACCTCAGTAGTTCAAAAATCCTCAGGCACCAGTCTTGTGGTGCCCCCAGGTGCTTGGTGGAAGCAAATGCTCTATGGAGGAACACACCTTTATCAGCAGGCCTCTAAGAATTCTCGCAAATCATTTTTCAAAGAAAATGAACATCTCCCAGTGAAAAGT